TCCTCCATCTGCGAAGCCCGAAGTCAGCTAATTGGCTAATGAAAATTATTCAAAACACCTGCCAGTTGAAATAATAATGATGTTTGTGGAGTTAATTTAACCGAAATAACCATTAGCACTTTATATCAAGAATTTAAATTGGATTGGTCAGTGTTTAAACCAGATATAATATTAACTAGGGGGGGGGGGAAGAGTAGCATTTGTTGTCTTCGTCGCTTAATGGGCAAATTACTTTTGGTACATATATAGTAGGGTTCCTTTACTGAAAGATTAAATGAAGGAATGTCTAATAGAAATTTTCCAAGTTCAGGCCTCTTCTTTGACCTGATATTACAAAATCAATCTAATCTTTTCAAATTCGAATAAGGTCTGCCCCCCCCCCTGGTTGGGTGACGACAGCGATACTCTTTCCTTGTAATTAGAAATTGCACTAAAAACCTCCATTTTAGCTCTGCTACAGCTGTGCAGACTCCATAAAACATGTAAATGTGGGTAAAGTATTCAACATCAAATTGCATAAGTAGACTTAAAACGCACTTAATCCCCTTGGACAATGACGTAGTAATGGAAAATGTGATTCTACTCTGGGAAGATGCGATTCAAAGTGGGGAAAGTCCTTACAGCGAAAATAGTGCAGCAATTATAAGACAGGTAAATGACAGAATAATTTTTGTAGAGAGGGAAGGAAAGGACTCAACCATCCGAAACGTTATGATTTGGAAGGAACGCGGGTTTTACTAAGGTGGGGGGGGGGGGGGGGGACCATGTTCACAATATGGCAAAGTCGCAACATGCGGTTAGATATCGATTAGATAATCGCCACAACAAATATCACAAATGATTATCTAATAACGCCATGGCCAACCCACGCACTGCATGAAACAGTTATCGATGAAAAATGTCCTATTACAAAGTTGAGAGGGTCTGTGAAAAATTTTCGTTAAGACAAAAATTAATGCGACAAAAATAGGTCATAAAATGACGCATAGAAAGCCTTCTAGGTGTACGTGGGTGCGGATCTCTAATGAATTATAAAACTTGATTGACAATGCTCCAAGGCCTAATACCAGGAGAGTCAAAACACAGCTTAGGTCAGCACTTTCTTCTAATATTCGATCAAAATTACTTGTTACATTCGTTGAGGTAGTTCCCTCAACAGTCTGTCTACCATTGCCTGTCGCAAGATGGATGACACTAGTTTAAGAACGCCACTCGGCCGAGGATGTTGAAGTTGTACGGCAGACGATGCGAGATTACCGAAGCGAATACCTAACCTCTGAGCCAGCCCGCACAAAATATGCGAAACAATCACTCAAAATTTATTAAATTCTCGGCTTACAAAAATGGGAAAATATTGAGGTTTTCATCAAAAGAGCCGGTTTGGGCAGTTCATTGCATCGATGAAGCAGGTGATGAAAAAGAGGGAGAGGTGTGGGTGAAGGCCCCTAATAAAAGTATGCAAAGCACGGATGGAAGTGGGATGTAAAGAGAGAAATTTCTCGTATGGATACCCGGTGTTACTAACTCATTGGAAATGCGTATGAGATGAGATGACACTGATGAAAAGGCATTCCATAGATTGAAATGAATGAATGGATATACCAAGATCAATGATATAAGAGGAGGGGGTGGGGGGGGGGGGGCAAGAAACCATTTCGAAATTTGCCACTCAGAATTCCAAACAAGGGACGATAAGAAATTATTTCAAAATTAAAGTTGAAAATCAGACAATCTGCCTATCTCAGGGTTCATTTACGATTTGCCCTTGATTCCCGACCTCTATTTCAATCAACCATACCGTCTATGATCAAAACTCAATTTTTTTTCTATTTCAGAATACATAATGTTACTTTTAATAATAACACATTACTTCTTTGAGTCCTTCCCACCTCACAGGCCTGAATGAGGCCACTCCAATAGAACAGTCAGTTGATCACATCCTTAAAAAATAAATTCCTATTAAGATTGATTTCCACTGTTTTGATTGTTTAAAAATAGCTTCATCAAGTGTGGAAGAATTTTGAGATGTTAATAGGACGCGTTTTTACAAAGGAATGGGTATTCGGAATTAGCAGATTTGTTTTTTCTCTTCTCAAAAGCAAAACTTCGGGCTTTTATGGATGGAGGAAGCTGTCTCAATCTCGGGGCGTGCGATAGACTTACCTCCACGCGGTGCAACCTGGACAACGTATACTCAAACGGACAAAAAAGTCTATTAACTGGCAGTTGACTTTAAACTTCAAACTTCCTTCACCCCACTGCATGTCATATTCGACCACTTCCAAGTGCTAACCTTACCTTTTCTTTGCCATTGTGTCTGTCTGTCTGTCTCTTTTACATCATTTAACCGCTCTTCTGTTCCCCTTCTCGACTTTTCCTCGTTTTGATGTTCCTCCCCTCTGTGAAGCCAGAAGTAAGTTAAAAGGATAATGATAACTATCAAAGCGCCTGCCAGTTGAAATAAATAAATAGCTCAATCTCGGTCAATGATTACTCCCGCAGATGGTTAGAGGACAATTACGCTGTTATCACTTCAGTGTCATTATGAACATAGTTGCCTCGGTAAATTAAGACTATTTGAAACTGTGGTGAAACAAGGCTACATAGTGCCTTTCTGTTCATTGTGTATCACTAGGTTAAAGCCTACTGTGGGGGTTGATTGTTCCGAGGCAAAGCAGCAAAATACAGCTATCCATTTTAAAAACTGATATATGCAAACATCCTTCCAACTATTTGCGCATAGAACGGAAAGTGATGATGAGAAAGCGATGTTTATTTACTGCGCATTTTTTATTCATTCAGTAGCGTATCTCAGGTTGCCATACAATATAATGAAGGGTTTTGAGTAGCATGTATGCCTCTTACAACTCTTGAAAGGATTGCATATAGATAAATCTTAATTTATTTCATCAAATTCAATGACTCATAGCTATTCATTATTACCCATGCCACTACTTATTTAGTTAAAGTAGTCACTAGAACAAACTATATCGCTAGGTGGCAATTGAGATTTGGCTTCTGTACAGCTACTCAGGATACGATAGAAGGATAATCAAAACTTCAAACAACGACTCGTTTGGCCAAGAAAATACACTTGCGTATGCAGATCTTGATAGGAAATAATGAATGCTTGGGTAATCAGTAATTGCGGCACTAACAAGATGCCATAATCAGGCAATGTAGCATAAACCCAATAATGTATCTGATGAGTTCTGTACAGGTGCACCAAAATGTTCAAATCGGACGCCTAATATGTTCGTAAAGTTAGATCGATGCTTTTATGGCTAAAATATCTCGAGTGAGACATTGAAGGCAAATCTTTCAATTTACGGTAGGAGTTTCGAAGTAGCATATTCTCTTATAGAGTGAGATGAATGAATTTACCAACATAGCCCCTCATTAATTATGGAAGACTTATGTTCTAGTGCCGAACAATAAGAGGACAAATGATATATAGAAATGGTTATAACATTATCCTAGCAGTCTTAATTACAAATAGAAGTGAGGAAGTTAGAGAGCTGGAAATAGAGATTATAAAAATATCAAATTTGATTAGGTGTTAGAAGGTGATAGAGAGGGCCAAAACGTCCACCCAACAGAACGCAACAGAGATCTCCAGAGAGAGCCCTTCATTGGAAGCAATTTATCAGCATTAGCAATCTCCTTCACTGCTTTGATGAATCGGGGATCGAGAACGATTGAGAGATGATTCACACCGGGAATTACTAAGGTCTTGACTTTTACCCCGCCTGACCACGACTGACAGACTGCCAGAGATCGAGCATTGACAGTTCCATCTCCATCCGGTTCATAATTGATGGTAGGTTGAGCATCAGGAAAGGTAGAGTCATAGACCATGCTTCCAGGAGTTTGAACTGCTGAACTATAGATACAGTAGATCTCATCCAAGCCTGAAGGAGGTACAAAAGGATTTACGGTGGCTTTAGTATCCTGGAACATTTGATAACCTGAAAGAGAAAAGATTTGCCATATTAACTATGATCCCAAGTACAATTTGAGTGATAGAAGAACATCTTAGCATATCTTCGAAGTTCCAACCAATCTATATCTAACTATTAATCAAAACGTTGGCGTCTTTTCTTATGTTACTACTCATATATTATAGGGAACAAAAAACATATGTATATGTACCAACCTTCAGGAAAGCCAATATCGCTGAAGAACTCCTTGTAGTCGTGGACAGTGTAATTTTTGGTTGGCGTGGAGATGACAACCTCAGAAGGGGACCATAGCTGTGGGTTGGGTAACAGAAAGGCCAAAGACGGCATTGATCGCTGCACCTCACGATACCACAATGGACTGTCAAGGTAGATCCCAAAGTTGTCACCTACAAAATGAGGAGCGAAAGACACATCAGTCAGCATGGAGCAGGTATTACGAGAAGATAAGCGATTGGTCAGGTACGATAGGGTGATAGCTCACAAGACTCCTAAAAGGAAACATTTCCTAGCCCCCAACCTGGGAAGAGGATGATGATAAACCTGAAATCAATTATTTCCCTCTTAGCAAACCTTCAACGCCTTACTGAACGTATGGACAATTAACTGTGCAGGAGCTTGCCCAATAAGTGGAATGATAAAGACCAAGTTCAGCTCGATTAGAAGACCACAAGGAATGGCAGCAGGTGTGGGGTAATTGAACTAAGGATCTATAGTAATATCAAAGTGGAAGTTGATATGGCACGATTATGTACTCAGATAAATTCTTAGCAGCCCTGAGAAATGACATGATCGGATTTGCGCACATTAACCTGATTATTTTCAACAAATGCAAATCCACGAGGCAGTGTTTATATGAACACGTACAACGATTGACAATGAAAGATAAGGCATTTAAAAATGTCACATCAGAATGTATTTACAATGTCGATAAAAAAACAAAGGCCGTCTAGCCTATTTCATTTGGTAAAATTTACCTCTTCAGTTTCTCGCCACCATTTTAGAAGATAAAAATTTTCTCCCATTTGGACAAACACAATGAAATTTACTGTGAGAAGTAATAAAGTGAATAGGAGTGTGTTCATACTAAGACGTAGAAATTGCAGATACGATGTGTATTAAGAACGAAAGTTTGTAGCACTGGTAAGTGCAGATATCGCGATAAGTGGAGATGGGAAACTGTTGAATGAAAAGCCTCCAAGTCCAAATTGTAATATTGCTTGTTATGCATCTTTTCATTGACTACTGGTACTATGACTTATCAGAAAGGCGAACACGACAGGGTGGAGCATTCCCGTTGGAGAAAGGCAAAAGCAAAAGCATAAATCAACGAAAAAAACAAGAGAAAACAGAAAATTCACAGAGCGTATATCGTATAAGAAGTCCAACAAAGCAAAAGAAGTTGCTTGAAACTGATGACTCCTTCCCCATTTCTGACAATAAGAGTCAGAGAGGGGACTTTTTTCTGAACTAACTAGACTCTATCAAATATATGCAATCATGCGCTAGGTGTGAAACTATTTGAAAATGACCAAGCAGAAGTTTACTTAAACAATGTTTACTGAAGTCAAGAGACCCCAGCAGGGTAGGATAAGGTCGCATAAAATGTCATTAAGTGCACACTCCTGTCAAGGCGAAAGTATAATTATGACAAATTATTAAAGATTTTACTTGGGCGAAATCAATATTAAAGTTATGCATTCACTCCATTTCATCGAAGCAATGCTTAATCTATAAATTGTTTAGATGAACTAACTGGAGTATTAAATACGTTGTGCATGCGTATACTAATTGAAACAGCAAGTTTCCACTGTAAAAAAACTAACACAATTTATTCTGAGATTTCGGTCGTCATAGTTTTCATACAGGGCACTATAATTTGAGGGTGTCAGAGCAACATAAGTCAGATAGTACAGTCCGTAGGTCAGGCCATCTATAAAGTCTAATCCGTAAGCCATAAACCAAACTCAGCTGATGTGAAATGCAATCGGGTGTCACAAGGTGGATTGTTAATAGTAGGAAGAAAATTCTGATATTCAGGCATGAGTCATAATAATGCGACCAAATGGGGTTAATTTCATAATCTAAGATAAATATTGTAATTTGGGTGCTTATATGGACAAAAATAAAAAACTGGACCTCGAGCTATGCCAGCCGTTTGCCAGGATTAGCCAGATACAAAGTGTCAACACTTCATTTTCAAAAAAATCACAAGAAACCTAAGGTAAGAGATCTGATTTGGTTCAGGGGGATGCTTAATCATTTAACGCCCTTAGGACAGCACGGTCCTCTTTCAAAATAAGCTCAATTGGTACCAAACTCGTAACAGAAGATGGCATTGCCGTCGCCTGATACACCACCAAAACTCAACACGTCAGAGGCATCAGTCTGCTGAGACACGCATGAGTACGGTTGAGGGCATTTTCAAAAAAATTCGGGCGATAAGGGGTTAATTGATTTTAATGCACATCAGGTAAATGAAATGGATGAAATTATATCCACTGCTCAATCATCTATTATTTATTATAATCCAATGGAATACAATCAGAATATTCTAGTGCGACCGGTCTCAATGTAGTTTCTGTTATGCCAGAAAGACAGTTTGATGTGTAGATGGGTCCCTCGTCACGATAGTGACGAATTATCCCTCCTTTTCTTTGGGGTTTAATTCGAGGCGTTTATTAAAAGAGACCTTGTAAATGGCAAATGGACACACTCAGTTTCCCTCCCCTGTGCGAGCACAAGACCAAACCGAATGACCAACGAACAATTCATTAAATACGGACAATGTACAGTGAAAATTAAGTAAGGCAATAAAATGGCCTACTAAGAACAAAACTGATACTTATTTAGATATAAAAAGAAGAGCAAAGATCTAAAAAAGCAAATAGGAACAAACCTAGTAAGTTAGCCAAGAAGATAAATTAAAACTTACCGCTTGCCTCAATTTTAAGAGCCTTTATAGATCCTCCAAGAGGAGCACTCGCACTAATGAAGGCTTTAATGTACTTTCGTTTCCATGCGTCGGTTTGTCGATTTAGAAAATGGAGACAGTAGAGTGATCCCATACTGTGAGCAAGTAAAACGACCTTTTGGTTCTGTCCATTTATAAAGGTCTCCTCAACAAGAGCCTTCATTTTTGGCACGAAATCCACATTCTCATCTTAAAAGATAGTAGAAGGGAATTGAAAGTATGAGGCTTGAGGGATCAAACATACGTTGGTATTCACCCACTTGGAGCTTTGCGAAAGTCAAACGGTGCACCACGGATAGTAAAATTTTTTACATAGTAAGGATTTTGAATGAAATCTGCAGTAACATCTTCGAAGTACTTGGTGACAGAATGAGGACGAGAATCAAGATTATCAACAGGCCATGTTTCACCCCAACCGGGAAAAGTAATAATCGCTTTTTCGTTATCCTCAGTCTTTCTTGTTTTGTTATTATAAATAAGTCTGAAATTGAACATAATCGCAACTAAAAAACGGCTTACTTAAAATAATCACTAAAAGTCCGGGGAGAGACGAGATATCGTAAATCGACCCAAATTGGAAAGGGGTCCGACTGGTGGTCTCTAAACTGGGCGTAAGCCTGAGAACCGCCATCGCCGGGAATCAAAATAATAGGATGAGGCATGTCTGATTTTACAAGTGATCTCAGTCTATCAATGGAAATAACAAAGGAACTCGAGGTGATGCAAAATGTTGCCAACAAAAAGAGACTGCCGAGGGTAAAAACCCTGCCTTCGATGGAATAAGCCATTGTTTCTAAAATACGGGTACAAGCAAAACCAATAAAGTGCTGAAAATAAGAAAATAACCACAACCAAGCTCACATCTGGGAAATACTAGGCCAGAATACGCGCCTTTTTCAGGAGGGGTGATTTTGAAACACAAGGTCATCATCGTTTGTTGAATTGATTAAAATGTCACCAGATCAATTAAGTATATTTTAACTTTCTTGTTTGTTTTTTCAATTATTGCAGTAGGTATGAAATTATTATAATTTTGGTATTCAGTTCCAGTAATTATCACAGTATTTCATTATTGTCAGAATGGAATTTGTGGAATACATAAGATTATCATGATTTAAATAAGCAATCTCATCCTCGCTTAAATGTGTGACAAAGCAACTGTTTACGTTATGGGTTAGGTAGGAACGCAAATGTAGAAATCCCTCATCCAATTAGCAATGCATAGACATTTTAAGGCCAGTCAACCAAAAAGTATTCAATAACCAAGCTCTGTCCCAGTAACATCCCGACGGCAGTAAGCGTATTCTATATCAAATGTTCTGCTTTCTCTATACTGTAGAGACAGCTTAGCTACTTTTGGAAGCAATTTCTTAAGAGTGAATTCTGCTTATTTCTGGGTTAACCGCTACAAATTTTGATTATTATAAATAGAATAATATGTATTTTAAATGCTCGAGTCAAGCACTTACCACTCAAATCTTTTCTTAACGAACAATAAGCTCCTGCGTGTTATAAGCCTGGCTATTACGGGTAAATCATTCTTTCCCAGTTTATGTCTGACAAATGTTTGAAATACAGATTTAATCATCAATGTTAGAGGCGGTCCACAGAGATTTCAGAAGTTGTCTTCTTAGAGTCCTAACGAAATTTTGATTCTGGCCTCAAGATATGCGTTCATGGGGTCGAAAATGATATAGCCTCCAAAATAGCCACTTAGTCCAGATATCATTAAAGACACAAATGCCCTAGAATTTACTTAGACAAATGCGCAGATATTGTGAAATATTAAATAATAAATTGCTCACGTTATTTTTTCTGAAGAAGTTGTTTCTCTATTCGCTTGACGCTGCATGCAATTTGAATCATTTTCGAAGTCTTCGAAGCGTCAAGTGTAACGATGGGACCGAAGGATGTCTAGAATTTTTAGATTTTTAAGGCGCAGCAGGGTCACAGTTATCCAGTTTGATCTCCGTTAGAAATGTTTTTGTTTAACAAATAAAGCTGCTTATCGAGGAATGTGATGCTAGAAACACCGTACAAAGGTCTGCCTACCAACATGATGCATTGAATGATGCCCAACGCGTAAAGAATTAGGTATTTCTTCCTTTGTATCCACAATCTATGACGTGAGAAGTTGTCTTAAACACTGTCAGCATGGTGTTTATTATGTTAATTGAGATTTAGTCGAAAATGTAAAAGGAGGATTTTTAGTCCACGACAAAATTATCCAAATTGAGTAGAAGTTAAATGGGTAACATTTATGGATGCAACAAATCCTGGCTCGTCTAGTTTTGCGAATACCGGGTGGAAGCTGTCACTACCGATGTTGGTTGTAGCAGACTTAGTGAGTATTAACTGAGGCCACTTAGAGCATAAATCTAACAAGATAAGAAAAGAAGTTCCTTGGACATGTCCAGCAGGACTGATATTAACGTGAGACCAAGGAACTTTAGTTTGAGGACACATGAGATCCTGATACCAAGGAAGTGCAGTTATGACTGCATTCTGAGCAATCTCTCTTGTTGCTTACATTTATTATCCACCAATACCTATCACTTATTCGAGCAAACGATCATGCATTTATCTCGAATGTGGTTACGATATTAAGACCTTATGAGGACATGGTCTTAGTGGATGATTTATGACTTACCATATTTCCCCTCATTCAGCAAACTTAATTTATCCCATGATCGGGCATTTATGATTTAGACATTGATTGTAACTTGAAAATGGTATAATTACAAAAGGGCTTACTGAGACAATTGTGGACTTGGAAGATTCCAGGAAATGCAGGAGATTCATTACATTTTTTAGATAATATTACACAAATTCAAGCGCTTTCAGTTGAAACATTAAAATTTGCAAACACTTTTCCCTCTCATGTTTAACTTAAGTTTGTTCTTTGACCCAGCGTAACAACGGCATCAATGGCTTTCACTTCATAAGCCTCTAGAGGCATGCACACATTTGCATTTATTTCAACTACCCAATTGCTGTGCATTTGTTCTTTAGTACTAGCTAACCTTGACACGAGTTCAACGTCTCGGTTTTTCACGAATCTACCCTGTCGCCATCTCACCAACTTTAGACCCTCTTCTGTCTTCTAGCTCTATTGTCTCCTTTTTTATCTCCCACCCCTTTCCTTCATCTGAAGTTTCTCGTTTAATTATTCAGTAGCTATGTCTTTTGCCAACGTCTTGCTCAATTTAGCTCCAGTGGCAAAGCATGTCATCCGATAAAATGCCATTATTTTTCCCAAGCACAGTAAGCAGGAGTCATTAAGGAGGTTATTTGTTCGTATTTCAAAACCATCATTTAAAAAATTTAGTCTGCACGTAATACCGTTCGTGCGTTTAAAGAAGTTTTGGTAGTTTTCTCAGCTGTTCCAGATTCAACACTGGGGCATCGTAATTCCCCTCCTCATTCGCTTCATTTTGTTTCTCAACAACATCCTCCGAAAACACCTTTGGGGAATGCAAAAAACTCTCGCAATGTTTATTTCCTTGCAGAGCCGTCAAACGGGGACTAATTGAAGTTTCCATTAAGCAGGAGGAGGATGAAGAGGAACACATATTATCTCCATACCATCTTTCGGCATCTAGTAGAATATTCCCAAACACGCTGCCACTATTGGTAGATGAGGTTAGTCCATTTTCTTTCAGATATTGTCTTGTGGCTAAACTGAAGTCTGACACATCCTGAGTGACAGAATTTGATGGTGCTAGCTGTGCTATTACAGAGGGAGAGAGATACTTTCGAGCTAGACCCATCAGAACTGTACTTTCATCTGTAGATTTCGAACTGCCCTTCCGAAGTCGAGAATGCGAGAGATCAACCGAAGGATCAAAATCAGTAGCAAATGTAAAACTATTCATTGCAGTTGTTGCTGGAATACTCACCCCAGAACAACCAATCTGAGATACATGATTTTCACTGCAAATTAAAAAAAGCTATTATAACTACATGTATATCTCCTTAGTATTATTAAATTTAAAACCTAATCAAACTGCTTACGCTGATTCACACTCGACTAACTCAGTCGGAGGAAATGTTATTGTTAAATCAAGCTTTTCTGCAACTTCCTTCTCACAGTCCTGCCGATGTCTTATAACATCAGCTTCAATATCTGCATCGATGTCGTTTGTTGACAATCGCCACATTCTACCAGCATTATCAGCGGCAGATGTGCATCTAGGAGGTTTTTGAGCTAATAGCGATAATTCTCCTGGAACGGAAACCGTTTTTCGCAAATGAGGAGTCGCCTGTTGCAGGACCTGCTGAATTCCAGCCTAAAATATCGTTAATTAATGACTTGAGGCTCAAACTTACTAAAAGACGACTGTATCCAGTATTACCGATTGTAGTGTCATCTGTTTTACACTGCAAACCATACACGATTTTTTTTGAGTAAACATGATAGTAATGTATAAAATATGAGTATGAAAGGGTTACTTGAGCTTGTTGGGTGGTGGAGAGATGTTCGTTTTGTGAATTATTTTCTAGCGAATGAACTGACTCTGATGAATGGGGAAATTTAAGCATTTTCTGGGAAGCCGGGGTTGGTGATCGTGGGAAATTCGCAATCTGATTAAAGTCTGCCGGTAACGGACAGGGAATTGGCGAAGATCCGCGACTTAAAGAAGCTAGTAAAAGGTCAATAATAACAAATTAAGTTCATAATGCAGCGATTTTTCAGGATTAAACATAAAAATGAAATGAAATAGACTTGAGTACTACAATGAGGCCTTCAAGATGAAACGTTTCGTTTCGTTCGCTATTTTGAGCGAATGGAACTTAGTTGAAAGAGAACCTTCCAAGTGTGTTGATAATAAATGAAAACATCACTCAATCATAAAAAAGCTTCAGTATTGTAGTTACCAAGATGAGTGCTCCCATGAGTTAAAGTTGTACAAGTTTATTAGAAGGAAATTTACATCGACCAATTAGTAGTTACCAAAAAAGGGTGCGATTAGACTTACCACCATGTGGTGCACCCTGGACAACGAATACTCACGACAAAAAGTCTATAAGCCGGCATTTGACTTCTCACTCCAAATTACCATGTCCCGACTGCAGGTCATATTCCACCACTTCCACGTACTCATCTTACTTTTTTTTCCTCTACCTTTGTGTCTGTCTCTTTTACATCTCTAAATCACTCTTCTGTTCCCCCCCCCCACCCTCCACTTTTTGTGACTGATGTTTTTCCACACTGTGAAGCCCGAAGTCGACTAAAGGGCCAATGATAATTATCATAAAGCCTACCGTTTGAAAAAAATCAGTAATTGTCAAAACTAACCCGAGTTACATTGAACCCCAACAGATTCTACAATCATTTTATCTGATTTTGGCACTTCCGACGGAGATACAAGTCCGATATCAGCAGGAGTGGGCCAAATTGAACTCGTATTTACTGCGACACTGCAGACATCTAGGTCAATGGGAGTACTAGTACCCACAGAAGAAGTCCTCCTTTCCGTTTTCTCTTCTTGGACTTGTTTTGTGGGAGTTTGATGAAGCATTTGAGTTGAAATAAGTTTTTCCACAAGGGCTTCCAGGCGTGCAATTTCATTATTTGAGTTGTTGGTTTGGTTACGTTCAGGATGACCTAAGCGTTAAAGGAAGTTGATTATAATTAGTTTGCGATAAAAAATCAATTACGAAATATTGGGTGGGCAACTAAGTCATTGCCGTTTTTGTTGACGGATTCACTCTATACTTTCTTTCGTTTTGTTAACGTGGCCAGAGCATCTAACCTATATTTTTTTCTTACTGTATGGGCTTCTAGGTTAATTAGTAAACAATTTTTTTGTTTAGTTCTTTAGTTTTGTTTTTATCCCAATTTAAAAATGAAAGAACAGGACGTGCTTTTCCGACACATTTCATTGTATTACTTCCGAAAAGGCAAGAACGCATCGCAAGCACAAAAGAAGTTATGTGCCGTATATGGAGATGAAGCCTTAAAAGAAAGGCAGTGTCGAAATTGGTTTGAAAGATTTCGTTCCGGTGATTTTTTACTGAAAAATTCACAACGATCTGGCCGCCCAGTCGAAGTGGATGAAACCCATATCAAGGCCATTATCGATTCAAATCGTCACAGCACAACACGAGATATTGCAGAGAAGCTGCTCAATGTGTCGCATACATGCATTGAAAAAAAATTAAAAACCCTTGGTTATGTCAAGAAACTTGATTTATGGATCCCTCACCAGTTAAAGGAAATTCATTTGACGCAACGGATTAGAATCTGTGATTCGCCGCTACTGAAACGCAATGAGAATGATCCATTTCTGAAGAACCTAGTTACTGGCGACGAAAAGTGGATAGTTTATAACAATGTTACTCGCAAGAGATCATGGGTGAAGAAGCAAGATCAACCAGCCCAAACAGTATCAAAAGCAGAGATTCACCCAAAAAAGATTATGCTGTCAGTCTGGTGGGGAGATCACAAAGGAATTTTGTATTTTGAACTCATGCCGCAGAACCAAACGATAAATTCAAATGTGTATGTTGAACAACTCGAAAAACTGAAGGATGCAATTGAAGATAAGCGGCCGGCGTTATCAAATCGACGGAAGGGTGTTGTTTTCCATCATGATAACGCAAGGTCCCACACATCTTTGGTTACTCGGCAAAAATTATTGGAACCGGGTTGGGATTTTTTGTCACACCCACCAAATAGCCCTGACCTTGCGCCTTCGGATTACCATTTGTTTCGTTCCATGCAAAACTCTTTAAATGGTAAAATTTTTAACAACGCGCGGATGATGTCGGATCACACCTAATGCAGTTTTTTAATAGCAAAGACCAGACATTTTACGAACGGGGAATTTTTACTCTGACAGAACGATGGAAAAAGGTCATCGACAAGAACGGCCAATATCTAATTGAATAAAGTTATATTTTTAAACAAAAATTCCGAATTTGCCTTCTTATTTAAAATCGGCAATGACTTAGTTGCCAACCTAATAGATCAGAAGGATATGCACCAAATGAGCAATAGAAATTAGCTTTACCGTGTCTATGATGATGTGAATATGCATGACGGCAGCACTGTGTTTGAAGTGGAGTTGGCGAGGGGAAATATCGATATGGACTGTAGGCTGATGAAGGTGCTAGTGGAAAACTTTCTTCCAACAGCATAGAAGCTTCTGGGACTTCAAAACGAGTTGGAAGATTTTCAGGTGCCGATAAAGTGCCCTTTGTTGTTGGAAGCTTAAACTTCACTGATCGGTTTCTGAAAGTAATAAGAGGGTGCGTTATCGTGGTTACCGTACGCCATACCTTGCGTTTATACTTATGAATAGTGGAGTCACTTAATATAGCTGACATTAGCTTAGTTCATCTGCATTCCAAGATTGTTCTCTTACTCATCTCTTTTAATTCTTACTTCGTTTTGTTCGCATTTTTTGAAAAAAAATAAGCAAGTGTCCTCTTCTTTAAAAAGGGCAAAACCGCGGCTTTGGGGCCCATTATCATACTTAAATTTTCTTTGCAATCACAAAAGATCTTTCAATGACCAATCGATTTAAATAAACCTGAGATGTTTTTTACAAGGCCTTAAGTATTTGTCGTTCTTTCAAATATCTTCTTTATTCCCTTTAATTGTGGTAGCTTCTTTTGTTAAATTAAGCATTTAGTTATTTATTTATTTACCGTTTTCCATTTACTGCAAGTACTAGTTGTGTGCGACAATTGTAAACAGTACAAAACTCTTGGCCAAACGACTTCAATAAAATGCACCCTCGACACTGCGTGTGTGTGGATAAGTGTAAGCGTGAACTGATCGATCAGACTCTGAACCCCCCCCCCCCCTCCTCCTTCATCTCCACCTACCCCCACTAGGTGCATAGCGAATACATTTCCAAGGCTATTTCCGTTTCTAATTTCCTATACGATTCCAATTAAATTGCCATTTTTATGGCTTTCCAACATTTCATTCCGTTAACAGATATTCCTATTCCATATTATCTTCAATTTCCGTTGCTTAAGCGGGTGCGCAGAATTAAGTTGAATGAAAAATTAACCATTTCCCTCAACTTTTTTTATCGACTCAGTCATGAAAAATAGCAATCATGAAAGTGATAAGCACTATCTAACAGAACTAACCCTTTCTTGTTGTCCTGCTTGTCCCGATAGAGAGCAGTATGGCTGCCAGTTTGCGAGACTTTATTCGAGGAAGAGTTTGAAGTCACTGTAGAAGTCAGTCCCTTAGAAATTCGACAACCAAGATTAGAAGCTAATCTACTAACAGCCTCGAATATCTTATTATAGTCGGCAAGAGAAGCTTGATCAGAGTGACGGAGAGAACTAAGAGGGGAGAGACGAACAACCACAATTTGAGAAGTCGCACGAGAGGCCTTTGCTTTGAGGTTTTCATTACCAGAAAAATAGTGGAAATAAAGCTGTAAAAAGTGGAATGTAAATAAATCTACTTACAAAATTTAGTAAAATAAATGCTATACAATCGCCCACTCTATCTGCAAAGCCATACCACGGGGATGTGGAATTCCCACTTGAGAAATCGAGGTACAAAGAACGTGGTGTCTTATTAGTATCAACATCTCCACGAACAGAATAAAATAAAATACTATTTGATGAAGAATTATGAATTGCCAAGACAGGAGAAATTGAAAATGCCCGTCTTCCCTTAGGAGCGAATGCATATCGTAGAATTGATAACCAGACGTGAAGATTAGCTACTGATTTTTGGCCATTTTCTGTCCCTTCTGTGCACCATCTGCAATTTAAATTGAAAGGGATCATTGTAAAATCTGAGTCAATTTCACCAAATTTCAAAAAACACGAATTTTTATGTTGTGAGGAAAAGGTGTTTTTGTTTAGAAAAAGAGTTAGTGAAACTTGCTAGGGGAAAATTTCCTCTTTAACTCGGCTTAAAAAGTATTTACAAAATTGGAAGAAATTTTGGACTTATGCCTACCATTAAGACATTTCGATATTTTTATTGGGGGTTTCGAGGCTTGTGACAAGTGTGGGAGATTAACAAGGTTGTAACACAGACTTAACTAGTTTAATTAGCTATTAAGCTCGCAAATTTTTCGCCGATGGAAGTCGAGATCATAATTTCTGATTACGTGAATGAGTGCATTAGCAATAGGTCCACTGAGACACACATATATCTATCACCAATTTCAGTTTCCAGATATGTAGCTCATCTGTCACACCTATATATCATCAAATTAGCTTAGACGCTGATACACGACTTGGTCATATACCCCATGTTCTTTCTAACTTACTTGGAAAAAATTTCAATAAGGCTCAAAATCTAATCACTCTTCTACACCTACATCTAAATACGAAATATATATAGGGATTGCACTAGAGCTTATAGTTATCTGAGAAGCGAATCGTCTCAATCAATTTACAATGAATAACAGATGATTGAGTCCAAATTTCACCATAATGCTGTGGCTGTAGCCATAAGGTGAAACAAACACTACAATCTCCATTCGTTTTGTTTCTTTAATACATTTGAAGTCTAATGGCTGATTTTTGGAAAAATTTTATGCTAAGAAATCTTAGTAGTGTGGGTTGTTGAAGTGTAGGTAAGGGTTATCTGTGTAATATCAGCCTACGGTACATTAGACAACATCGGTTACCCATCCAAATACATATATTAAAATATATTAAGATGTGCATAGTTTATTTAAGCATACCCAGATAAGATAGCCATTATGTCCGTCCACAAATTAGAATAATCTTCATGTGATAAAAATTTAGCACTTAGGGAAGTTATAAAATGAAATTCAAATATCTGGTATTAAAATAAAGAATAATTAAAAAGCATAGAATTTGTCAATAACTATATCATTAGTTTTTTCCAATAAAAGGGTTGTTGGAAATCTAAAAGCCTTTTGTATTGTCATCGAAACACATGTCTTTAATGATAACTTTATGAGAAAAACTAATTGAACGGAACTTACACTCCAGCGGGTAAAGATGATCTTATACCCTCGTCGCCATCCAGAAAAGGAACGAGGCATCCAGATGGATCCAAAACAAAATATCTAGAAGATTTAGAAATAAAATCGTAAATATTTTGAAAAAATATTAAGAATTAATAAATTAAAACAATTTAGCTACCCAAAACGGAACTTTTCTTGCGTCCCATCAGATTTAATTAGATTCAGATTTTGAAATCGCGCATTTACAAACTCAGTTTGAAGACAGTGACGGAAGCAATCACCATCAAATGGGTAGCTTTTGATCTTCAGTAGGGAGAATAATACATTTGGTGAAATAGCACATGTGCGAATTGAAGATATTTCGAGTTTATCGTTTTCTATTGCCTTAAAATCAGCAATAACCCAGAGGAAAAGGAAATCCGAGAAAGAAAACGAAGATGACGTTTGATAAGAAATACCATTCCAAATGCGATTTATTTGTCTGGCAAAAGTATCGACTGATAAAATACTACCCTGAACCATACGATTAAGCTAAACAAAAGTTCGATTTAATCACAAATAGAAAACTAACGAAAAATGGAATTATAGTTTCTGACGTCTCCAATGGTGGTCGAGAATTATGCTCTGGTGACTCAAATCTGTATGCATTGATTTCAAGTACATTTGATGGCAGTACTCTGATTTTCGCAATAAGAAATGCTTCAGCAATTTCTAACGGCGATTTCTCAAAATATGACGCAGCATCAGCAAGAGCTCTTGATGAAAAGGCAGTCAATAGTGAGCTAAAATTTTCAATTTATTAATGTTCAATATTTACCAATTCAGGATGCCCTCACAAACATTTGTAACTTTCATATCTTTAGCTTTTGTTTCAAATCCCATATTTAAAATCTCGCTACCTTAACTAAAGTAAATTGACAAGTTTTATACTTACAGTTATGTGAAAATCTGTCAAAACGAGTAAATCATATGTCATTTAAGTTCTTGCGACTTATTAGTACACATATTTGACAGATTAAAACAGAGGAAAGTTAGCTTTTAATAAGTAAAAAGAGACATTATATACTCCAACGTAAGTAACTTAGTGTTTTAAATTTTTCATCTTGTTTGCACAGCATGTTTATTTAAATTTATAAGTGAGTCACGCTCTAGATGTTGCGAAATAAGTAAATTAACTAGGCTAGATACTTTTAAAGTTTTAATAATTTCCCAATTCCATCTAACCAAAATTTGTCATGTATATATTGCAACATTTTTAAAATACCTTTCCTACTACCCATTATAATTGAACGTTTGTGTTTTTTTGAAAAAATGAATTTTATCCTGCGTTTATTTTTACTCTATATCATAATTGGCTATTTGATTTTTTAATACCAATCTTATATATTCGATTTAATTTTATTCATGCTACTTGCCTTCAAATAATTGTTAATACAATAACCTTTTGCTCTTTTAGCTTAGAAGTTGTATTTTAAGAACAAAGCAAAACTAGCTCCTCCGTTAAATGTATGAACTCAACCTATCATTTGATCTTGGTTTGAAAATTTCGATATATACTCAGAAAGCATACATTTAATTCCCCTTGTTTTGCTCTCTTAACTGACAAGATATTAGAAATTTCATGTAAAATTAAAAATTATTGGGACGAAAGCATGTATTAAAGTTAAGACAATCAAACTATACGAGAGGCGATTGAATGCTCAACCACTTTTCTACTAAATCGTCTAAAAAATTGTATTCGAAGATTATTTACTCAAAACATAATTGAATCCACTTGGGCAAACTCGGTGTGTTGCAAAATTCAAAACAATTTAATTACTTTCTAAGAAAGTAACTTCTAAAACGACGCTGATTATCACTCACTATTCATTTACATTAGCATGTATATTTATATTTCCTACTAAAATATATGGTTGAAAAGATGTTTAATTTATTGTGCAAATTCATTAATTTAATCTACCTATCTTTCCATAGAAAACTCAGTTTAAGCAATAATTAATGGATTGTTATTTTTCACTTGACGGAAACTCGAAGAGTAAAATTACCTCTTTGGATCAAATATCCGATAGTTCTAATAAAATCTTAAATCTAAACACGAACTGCAATTAATTGATATAATCGATTGCTACTTCTTTTAAACTGAGCCCACAAGTCCCACTAGTAACTTAGACCTGATGAATATAATGTTCTTTGAAATAAAAGGGCAATAAACCTGTGATTGTAGATAAAACAAACGTTCTATAATTATTGAACACAGAAAACATGCATTTGCTCCAAGCCCGTAGAGGAATCATGAAGTTGGAATGTGGCAAAAGGAACTATCACATTGGTAAACTCTGTGCAATGTCACAAGCACAGTCAAGTGGACCAAGAATCTTTCATGTCTTGGCCATACTCTCATACCACTTCCATTCTCTCTCCTTTATAAAGTGCTCACCATTCCATGAATTTATTTATTTATTTCAAATGGCAGGCGTTTTGATAGTTATCATTAGCCCTT